CATAAAGCCCCTTCAAAAAAACCATCTAGAGCTCCTAATCAAGTTTTCTTTTTGTGGAAAATAGAAAGCCAACTTATTGGTCAACTTAGTGGGGAAAGAATCCTATCCATGCAAACCCCAAAAGCCCGTGCACCACTTCTCCAAGATGCATGCTCCTAATGCTTCAACACAATTCCCTAAGATGCATGCTCCCAATGCTTCAGCACATCTCCGAGCTGGGCTCGGGCCGTAACTTTGAGGCTAAGCCCGGTTTGGGCCAGGCTTTGGTGCGCCTGGTGTCTTTTCGAGCCGGGCGCCAACTAACCCAAAAATGGCCCAGGCCAGCCCGAACTTTCATAGCTTTTAATTTAAAATAAAAAATTCCTATATATTTATTAAAGCCCCAGCCCGAGACGATTTTTCAGACTTGGGTCTCGTATGCAACATCCCGGGACGGAGCAGAGCCATGCTTGATATCTAATTTTTTGGCTCCTAACTGGTCAGGCCTACCTTACATGAATTCAAGCGTAATCGGGCCCGGCCCGTTAATAGCCCAACCCAAAAGTATGCACCCAAGAAATGCATGTATTGTTTCAAAAGTAAGCATGCATACACATACTAAAATTCCTAGAAATAATTCAAGTTTGGGAGCTGCACGTCAAGGATTCTGATAAATGGTTTGATTTTGAACAACGCCCTTCAATACTGCCTCCAAACTAATCTATATGTCCTAAATCTAGGGACCTATATGATAAACATACCAACAAATCATAAAGGTCCTCTGACTCTCTTCATTTTCAACATTTGGAAGAAACACAAGGCACTATACAATCTCATTTGCTTTTTTCTTTATTTCTTTTTTTGACAATCCATTTTAAAAAAAATGTAGTAAAAGTTGTGTTAATTTCTTTTCTTTTTTTTTTCTTTTTTTTTTTATTTTTTATTTTTTTGGTTTGTTTGGGTGAACTAGTGATAGGACTCAATCCTTGGACATTGTCCTGCAGCTCCTTCCCTCTCAACCACCGAACCAAGCAATCAAACCCAGTGGTGATTTTTCCATTATACAATTATGTGTGCATGCGATGATGATTAACTTTACTTCATTGAAGAAATGTTTTAAAACTCACAAAATCCAACTCAAACTCAGCCAAGTTACTCGGGCCTAGCAAAGTGCCCTGTCCAAGTGGAAACCTCGAGACTCGCTAAGTCTCAACAGGGCACGAGGTTTCTGTGTTATTCTTTTAAAGACTAGGCCATGTCCGAATTGTACTAGACTACACCAAGCCTGCTGACTAGGACTACAGCCCCACCCAAATCCATACATGAGTCTAAATTATAAACATCATCATCATCATCATCATCAAAGCCTTTTCCAACTAATTGGGGTCAGCTACATGAATCCTGGTCACTGTAGCCAACCCCAATTAGTTAGGCCAAGACTTTGATGATGATGATATTTACAATATAGACTCGTGCATGGAACTGGGTGGAGCCGTGGTCCTAGTCAGTGGGCCTAGCTCAATCCAGTGCAAGTCGGCCATGGCCTAGTCTTAGTTATAAACACTACATTGAAATATATGAGATGTATCATAGTTGCTAAAGTCTCCTGACCTAGGTAGCAATTACGTTCCAAAATCTCACTTTGATGCCCACTGTTAGGGATCTCAATCCCCACTGTTAGGGATCTTGATTCTCACCTTAAAGACCAAGAAGATGACCAAACAGATGATTTTCTCTATTTATAGCCAAGTACCAATGAAACTACACTTTTAATATAGTTGCATTGTTTGTTATATATAATGCGATCCCTTGCTTTAAAGAATAAGAATATAATATTTAAGGTTGGGAGCAGGATGAAAAGGTTTGGATTGAAATCCCAAAAGGTCAGGATCAAGATCCTTAAAAGGTTGGGATTGAGATGCCTAACATTTGAGGAGTCCCTAAAATATGCATTGCATGAATGGCACTCCCAAGCATAGGGATTTTCTAGCCTGTCACAACACCACTCTCGATCCCAACAACTGTGAGGTGTACAAGTGAAAAGGTATGAACAGCCTGTAAATCAAATAATTTAACGAAGAGAGTTAAGAGAGGGGAGGCACTCAATTGGTTATAACAACAAGAAATTGAGAACTTGCATGCTCCTTCTCTTCCAAATGAATCAGTTCGCGTGTTGGCGTCACACTACCTATGTATGAAGAAGACCTCGAAATTTGTAAATCCATCAAAAATAATTGACACTAATAATTGACACTAATCTCCATGGACAACCAGATCCTGCTTAAGTCCATGAGAAAACATATGTGAATCCTCTTTTACAAGGGGATTCCATTCTCATTGAAACAAGTGGATGCAAACTAAGAGGGGCCAAGGTCTCCACTTCATTGGAATCACACTGCCCATGGGCACTAAGAGGACCAAGGTCTCCACCTCGTCAGAATCACACTTCCCAAAGGTCAATGCCCACTGGGCCAAAATTACCTCCTTAACTACCATATATGTACGTAAGAACCACATGAATTTTTACGTAGGTAGGGACATGATGTTCAAGCTTTAGCTCATAAAATTGCGACAAATTACACTTAATTTCCAGATATCAGTTGTACTTCCTGCTTTTACTTACTAATGACATAGACAAATTGACTCTTAAATTGCTTGATTGATCTATATGGGATATGGTAAAACCTAAATGTTCTTTTCTTTCATAGATCACCTATGTTTTATTAAGTCACACAAACTTATACAACAAAATCAGAGCAACAAAATGAGAACCAAGGACATGGCAAGACATCATTCCAGTGGCCACAAGCACATGAAACACAGATATTGTTACGATTGTATTTCATGTTGCATTTCATATTGCATTTCATATCTCCCGTTATTTCCCTGGCTCCACTTCTTGCATAAAACGCCCAGTATTTCTCAATCATAATAATATATAGAATACACATTTCTGCACTTTACATAATGTTACTAGGCCTTCAGATTGTATGTCTCAAATTCATGTCTTAAAACATAAATAATTAGAGTGTGCCCATATGGATATTAAAAAATTAGGTACTATTCTTTTGGCTTCTCTTCCAACATCAGTATTAGATAATTGAGTTATTCTATTCCTTGTGACGATAGATTCTCCAATAGTTAAGCAACATTGCTGACAATGAATGTCTCCAATATCCCATTACATAATTTGTTTCATTAGAATCTTTGTCTAAGACAGCACTTCAGGTTTCTCCATTTTCAGCATCTGAATCCAAGATATAATAAAGAGGCTTTCTCTAAACAATGTCTGCATCAAGCGAAGCAAGAAGTTTAGGAAGAAAATACCAAGAGGGGTGACAGTACTTCAATTGGAGAAGGAAAACATTAAGTACAATAAGAACATTGGAAGTTGAAAGAGAACAAAAATTTCCTGAGATATAAAGTGAGATTCGCCACACTTATTCACTCGATAGCACATATAAGGTACATCAATGCACTGGCAACAGAAGTGTACAGTACTTGCAAAACAATAGGAGACCATAACTACCTCTAAAGAGCCTAAATTGGGCACTTCAAGAGCACTTCAAGAGCACTTCCAATCCAAAATTTGGAACTAAAGGCATTTCTTCATAGAATGCCTCAAGTGGAGACTATACATACAGCTAGACTATCTAATGCATGTTTCGAGTACAATCTATTGTCATAAACTAGAGCTCGGTGGAGTCAACCACATGATTAGAACCTCATCATCATCGTCAAAGCCTTTTCCCAACTAATTGGGGTCCTTTTCCCACGTGAATAGAACCTAATTTGAGCATTTCAAGAGCTAATTATATTCTTATTACAAGGCATGTTAACCCGGCTGTCTCCCATTTCATATTGTAGCTACAGTGACAAATTAGATAAAAGAATAGGACACCCACGATACATTATGTGGTTAAATATTGCTTTGACTGAAGGATACATACACTTATAAAGTGTACGCATTTAGTGCTTAATATAACATATGGCATGGGCAAAAAACGGCACTCTAGTAGAGCCGAAGTTGAAATCATTCTTACAAGTGGCAAATCAACATCAGCCAGTCAATATTAATCCCACACATCCACATCTGACACAAATGCACTATATGCCATTTGTGTACATCAATATTAATGTTAAAACTTACAACACATTTATGTGCAGAACAGGTTGTTTCACTAGGTAGACAGCCATTGATTATCTAAGAATCTCTTTCCAAAGCAGAATATAGGGCGCTGTCCTATATGTTTAGAGAATGTATACATAAGAAGATCATTGAATAATCTCTCCATTCACTGGACAACTCCCACAATGTTATTAAGGAATTCATTTATATCTCGTTTAAGTGTCAAATGGAGCTAATATGAATACCATATATGTTGTGTCAAAAGCAGTGTTTCACGATAATACGAAACATTTTAAGAATATATGTAACTACACAAAAAAGAAACTTCAGCCAAGAGAAATCCATGAAACATGCCCACTCAGCATCAGTTTGTAGAGCTCCTCACTAAGTGTGTAACCTAAGATAGCAATTCCTTTCTCGAACAGGTGCTGATGCTAGATGCACATTATTTTATGAGAGAGTAATGGCCAGTAAGAATTTGTAGTTGTTTCACAGAATTACTCCTGACTTATAACAGACTAACAATATTTAAGGTGGAATTAGATTTTTCAAACCAAAAGGCATATTATAACTTATGAGTGTCATTATAAATCTATAAGTCTGTGAAATTAATGAGACCAATAAATATTTTCTAACCATATAACCCATTAAAAAATAAGAACAATCTCAATGCAAAGTTATATTGCTTCCTCTTTGTACACTACTTACATAACCCACACCAACTAATTTTTCTCTTCCTTAGCAGGTCATTCTCCCTCTTCACACACAGCATATTCAATCCATAAAGTCGGTGATTTACATTATCCATTAATCATGTAGAAACTGCATAGATTACTTCCAGATATAGAAACAAGAGGACAAAGCATGCATATAAGTGTATGTAAGAGCTTACTTCAGGATTCAAATCGTTAACTTTTTCAATTGCATCTTCTACATTCCCACACTGCACAGCTTTTTTCACAGCCATTCGGTCCGTTATTGTTGTGAGATCAATATCTGCTATTTATAGCTAAGGATACGATAAAGGCCATGTATAAAGTGTTTTGGGCTTTTGAAACAGAAGCTCTTTTTACCATATTAATCCTGAAGACAATGAGATATTCTTAACAAAGAGCGCACAGAGAATCCCACAAGTTAGCAGAAACAAAATCTAAATGACATATATCATTGTAATGGATGGCACCAAGTTAAAAGTGAAAATCAATCAGGAGAGAGATAAAAGCCAAGAACAAGATAATGATTATGGATACGCTCAGTGCCAGACTCCATTCGAAATTTTTCAGCAGCTTCAACATAACCCTCAGTCACAAGAAAGTTCATAACCAGCTTATTCATGTCTTCTTTTCTGATCTTGGCATCATTAAGCTTTTTCTCCCAATCCTCCCTTGTAATTACTTTCTTCGAAGTAGACTACATAATAAAAACAGCATGATCACTCTGTCGCCTTTTTTTATCAAGAAAGCATGGAATTATGTGCCAGATGAAATAAAACTCAATGTTTCATTGGCCAGCAGCCCATGTTAGGAAACTTAACACGATGGCTGCAGCACTCTAGGGTAGAAAATGTAATAGAGATGGAAAGAGGTCAAGGGATCTTTCCAACTCTATTGCATTTACAAGGAACGATATGACAGTTCGAATAGCGGCTCAATTATATTTAAGGGAAAAGTATGGCTGTTTCAACTCTGTTGCAACATTCAATCTCAAATAACAAAATTCACATCCAAATCTGAAACTCCAAATTTTTTGGTGACTCCAGAAGATCAAACATGGCATTTGAAAGAAACATGAATCCCATATTTCAGTTTCCACCACAGACAGAGATATTTGAATACCATTATTGAAGTTGCAGCGATATAATTGAATGTGTCCTGGAGCGGTAACACCACCAAATCTAGACCTGAATTGCTTCCCGACCTGCCTCAATGAAATTATAACACTTAAAAATAAGATCAGAAGTATTGAACCAGAAAAGAGTTCATGAAATCTCCAACTCATTATATCTCTCAAAATGATACCAACAATAATGCACAAAATGCCAGAAAACCGGGAACAGAAACACATATACCTAGCTTGAGTGATAATCCACCTCTATATCGACCAAGTGTACAGAAGTTCATGCTTGTACAGCCACATCTGCAGAATAATCAAAGAATTTCATCACAAATACCTTTCAAAAAAAGAAAATCATCACAAACTGCCCCAATTTTCACGAACCCTAGAATATGCTGCACCTTTAAAACAACGCCTGGATACCTTTCCCACTATAGAAAACCGAGACTGAGTTAAGAGAAAGCCTTAGGCCTAGATAGGTCCAGGAGAAACAAACTTTGCGCCTCAGAGAGAAAATACATATAGCTCTCAATAGAATGGAGAAAGAAACCTGGAAATCAAGAAACGGACCGATGAAACAGGCAAAACAAACTGTAGATATAAAAATCAGCTCTCTGGATTTTCCGGCTCGTTGTTGTGCTCCAATTTTATAGAGGAAGTGAAATCGAAGCAAGGAGCGATTCCCCCAGCACGCTCACACATGGCAAATGGGGGACCTTGTGCCTTGTACTATTGGAAATGTATATAATAACACCATTTACCTATGGGAAAATTACTAAGGGCAAACCCCGCAATTTCGACTTTCTCCCAAACGTACTTTTGAACTAGGGAAAATTACGTAAATATTTGTTTTGCTTTATGTTATTACGAGAATATCTAAAATTTTATATTATTACTCATATGCCTGTTTTTTTAACTCCATATCAATTTTTTTAAAAAAAATAAAACTACCCATAATTTTCAATTTTTTAAAAATTAAATTTATTTGTTTTTATTTTTGAAAAACTGAAACTTTTCTCCCTAAATGTGTCACTAGAAAACCGAACACCTCACCATACATTTGTTTCCAATTTTTTGCAAGGGCAATTGGGATATTCACCATACATTTGTTTTCAATTTTTTGCAAAGGCAATTGGGATGTTCACCATACATTTGTTTTTAATTTTTTGCAAGGGCAATTGAGATATTGTTTTTCAAAATAAGAGAACTTTACCATGCTGAGCTTATGTCACTAGATAGACAATCACGTGGCCCCATGTCCCATTCATTCGTCACCAAGTAGTACACTGGTCCTCAAGTCTTTTATAGATGTGAAATCCCCTTGAAGTTTTCGATGTGGGACACTCCCGTTGTAGCAGCTTGAGACTAAACCTATTAGCCTGCAAATTGTTAATAGCGATTAAATCATACGGTTATAACCTTTAGCTCTTAAAGAAGTCAGTTTATTATAAAAAAAAAGTTTATTAAATTAATAAAACAAGTCTTTTAATAATTATGTTAATTATAAAAAATATTTATTTAATAGAGCAAGACTTTTATAATAAATTACATTTATTATAAAAAATATATAAGACATTCAAAATATACATACAAGAGCCATCTTGTTTTTTGAATCACGTTTGGTATAATATTATAATTAATAATTATACTAATTACATTAATAATCAAATCTTATATGTTATTTATTAATATATTTCTCTATAAATTATATAATTTAGTATCTTATGTTATGGTTGTAAATTAAATTTCAAAATTAGATGATATTACAAGACAAATTTAAAATTTATTCTTATTTGAATAGTAAAATTATGATAATGTATAAACCAATAATTTTAATTTCAATGTATAATATTATTGTTAGTTGGGTTGTGATAATTGTGGACAAGTGAAGAGAATTAATAAATGTTTGATTTGATACTAATTTCACTTTATATAGGATGATATTATTTTTAATCTTATGAAAAATTAAAGTTCTTAATGTAGTACCCTCATTTCTTATCTTATTAGATTTTTAATCATTTTTAATATATTTGTTTGGATTTCTTTAAGGCCGAATCCGATCAATTCGGCTAATTCCCAATCCGAAACACTGATTCACCGATCTGGATGGGTCTTTGGGGTACCCGATCCAGGGCATTGATCCATATTTTAAACCACTTGCTAAAAGTGATTGTGATCTCCTTGTATTCCTACAGTTTCCAGCTTTAAGGGTAAAAAATAAATAAAATTTAAAAATAATTCTTTTTCAACTCAAAATTTAATTAAAATAAATATGTATATTTTTTAGAAACTACCCTAAAAGATATGTCAAATCTACACCGTCAAACCAAAATAGATAGTATAGAACATTACAACCTTACATTTATAAATAAAGGTTACCACTTTATGCAAACTGCACCATTTTATTTTGTGGTAGTAAAAGAAGGATGAGGTTTTACGAGTCCACTGACTCATCTATTTAAATGAGCCCTCTATTGAAAATGGGTTTTGGGAGGCCACCATTCTTTAAAATCCATATATAACATGGAAGTTTAATGCATCTGTGGATGCTTTTTTGTGTGGAAAGTGTGTTCCCTAAAGCACATAACTATTTTGCTTAAGGGCATGTTTGATTGCGGGAAGGTAAACGTTCCCTAGAAATTTGAAGTTCTTCTTTGCTGGAAAGTGGGAAGTTATCGTAAGGAAGTTCTAGTTACCTATGTTTGATAACTTGATGGAATGTTAAAGAAGTTCTAGTTACCTATGTTTGATAACCTAGTGAAATGTTAAGAAAGTTTTGGGTACTTATGTTTGATTAGCTGCGAGTATGTTGAAGAAGTTCTTGGCAACTGTGTTTGATTGACCGAGAGACATGAATAAGATAATTTAAATCGTCTATTCATATAAATGATAAATGGGACTCCCTCAATAGTGATAAAAATATAGCCAATGGTTGTCTAAAAAGAACAAGCACGAGAGGAAAATGATGAGCCAGATTCCAATGCCCTTGTTCAATATACACAAACAAAAAAATAAGAGACGAGTAAGCTTTTTCGCTAGTCTTCCATTACATTAATTTAATTATATATATAACAAGCAAGAAATAACTACATGATTGATAGCAAAATAAGGGAATGTAATACGTCTTAGATCATTATCTAATAACAAGATTACGTCGTATGGATAACATAGATAGAGATTCATAAAGAAAACAAGATTTTAACCAAACCAAAGTCCTCTCCAATGTCCAACAAAGTGCACTTTATAGGGATGGCACTATATAATTTAAACCATGAGAAGAAAAACGACGATACCAACCGGCATTACAACAAAAGCGACCACTTTGCACATTAAAATTGTTGGATTTGGTACTATCCAAAATCACCTACGTAAGGATATTCCTATATTATTTGGGATTAAGATATTCTCATATTATGTGGATATTTTTTTATTATTATATCATATTAATATTGATATTTGATAAGTTTCATAAAAGAAATAGAAATATAAAAAGATTAGGACTCTTGAATATGTCTATTGGGTTTTGAGATATATATAACATCAATAGGAAGTTTCGAATTTAGTATGGATTTCTAACTTTATATGTATAGGATGAAAGTGTAGAGAATATGTGTACCCAATTTGGGTCACCCTATAGGAATTTTGGTTTGTCTAGAGAGATAGGGAGGTAGAGCCTCTTGTGCATAAACTACAATTTCCTCTCATAAAATACAATTTCCTCTCAGAGAAAAACGTTGATGGTGCCTCCTGAAGACTCATGTAGAGTGAGAGATTGTTTTCTTGTATAGAAATGATTATCATAGAGATTTTGGGTTGTTTTCCATTTTATTTAAAGAAAAAATCAGTTTCTCATTGATCTCGCGTCTCTATTTGGTGTTGTCGATAATGGTTGCCAGAAGCAAAAAATGGGAGAGTGGTTTAAAAGAGTTTTTTCAACTGTGTTTTTGCTGATGTTTGTTTCAAAATCTTTGATATAACTGTCATTGGTATAGTGGATTTCAATTTGTCGTGCCTATGGATATAGTCCTTTTGGGGTGAACCACGCAAATCTTTGTGTTCTTGTTGTATGTGTTTCATGCTTTATTTCTCATACTTTATTTGTTAAATACTAATCCATCGGGTTTAGAGCTTCCGCGCAAAACAAGTGGTATCAAAGCTAGATTTGGGGTTGTCGGTATAGTGGCAAAAGTTTCGAACACAAAATTCGAAGTGGAAGAAGATGTTGGCCATGAGGTGGTCTGTAACAACTCTAAATTTTTAGAACTGATAAAATAATAATAATAAATGTGATAACCCTAAAAAAAATTTACTGAAAAATAATAGTGAACATAATAATATTAATAGTAATCAAATAAAAATAAAAATAAAATAATTATAAGAAGAAATAAAAGTTTTCAGATAGCCCATTATTCTAATAATACGCACCATTAGTTTGGAAAAAACTTCATATTTTTTAACCATTTTCTATTTTTCTAGTATGGTCCATGAAGAACACTATTTATTTTTACCCCGACGTGTTAGATAAGCATATGGCATATGAGATGGGTACTTAATACACCTCTTAAAAAGTCACCTTACCATCTCTCTCCCACTGTGGTGCTTTACCCCTTTATAGTAGATGTACAATTTAAAAAGGGCCCTCTCTCATTCATGTTATGCCCTCTCTCCAAGAACATTCGCTCTCTCTATTGCCATGCCATGCCATGCCATCTCCAAGATTCCTCTCTTTCTCTCCCACCTTCCATACACCGCTCCTCTCTCCCTCTATGTATCTCTCCCTACCTTAGTCATGCCACACATCCCCTCTCTCTTTCATCCTCTGCGCAACAACCACGAAACTCTGTAACTTATGCCAAAATCTCTAGCATCAATTGAAGATCCATATGTATGCATCCATGATCAAATCTTTTTTTCCTGTGTCACAAGGGACAACAGGTACAATGGAGGGAGTGGTTTAGCTTCTTAGGCCAACTTTACCGGCACAAATAAAATGCCCATTGTTAAGATGTACCCAACTGAAAACCCCCTTCTCTCACTGAAATACCAGAACCACCATCACCTCTTTCTCCCTCTACACAAAACCCACCTTCATATTTTCTCTCTCTCTCTCAGTCTCTCTTTCCCCTCTCTTCCTCTATCATTATCTTCAATATATCTGTGAATACTGTGGGTTCATGATTCTTGGAGGAGCTCATGAATGGGAGCAGCACAAATAGGGTCGTGGCCATCGTAGGCGGGTTGCACGCCTCCTCAAACTGTATATATGTAAACATATGACACTTCTTGTTAGCTTCCATCAACTTCACCGAGATATCTCGCAAACCATCTTATGGGGACTCTCTCTCTCCCCACAGACGATTACGGTGCACTTATATGGCCTTTTAAGTGTTTTTGGTTTACTGTGGGTTGTTGTTAATTGAGTGTGGTATAATCTCTTCTGTTTATGACAGTTAGCATGTGCAATTGTCGATTTCTTATAGCACAACTTTTAATTTGATGCTCGTTTATCAACTTATGATGGGTGCGTCTCATGTATGGTGGTCCATTTGGATCAAAGTATTGTTACTTGTACAAAACCCTGGAGGTTTTAAGAGGTTCATCGAGCAAGTGGTTGGTAGAAGGTGCATAATTGGATGATTATGGACAATTTGATTGGTTAGAAAAATGATGATGAACTAATCTACAGTGAAAAACCCACCACGTTTGGCAAAGTTTA